CTTATAAATATGTTGGCCAGTCTTGTTTACCGTGGATAAGAGAAGAAAGATGTGGGAAATATATACATAGCTAGAGATTTTCGCAACATTGTATTGGCTACAACCACTGGGGAAAACTGCTGTTATACTGTTCTTCTTTTGATAGTATCTTCATGTAAGTTGTGTGATTCTTTCAGGTAGCCCCCGAGGTCTGTGGCTGCGCGTGCGCACGTGGCTGGGACTGGCGGCGGAGTGCGGGCCGGCGCGCTGCCCGCGCTCCGCAGAGCCCGCCTCCCCTGCGCGTGCTGACGCCCCCTGCCCGCCCCCTTTGCCCTTCCTTGTGCCATCCGATTCTGTTGTGTAAGTTGGATATGACGTCACTATTTCAATAGACAAAAGAATTCTTCTTATTGTAGAGCTTTTATCGGTATACAAGGTAAAAGTTAGTGTTAACTATAAATTATGTCAACAGAGGAATGGCATCGGTGCTGGGAGCCCCGCTCAGCCCCGAGCAGACGTTCGGCTCCATTAAGTCGCTAGCGATATCGCGTGAGGTGGCCAGTTTCCCGCTATCACGCTCGCCTACTCCGCCACCATTAAGGTATAGTACACAATCATTATTTACTGTTAACTAATAGGATCGGTTATATTCTCTTGATTTTCTCATACTAGCGTCCGATCTAAATTACTTTGGTTTACTTCCGTTAGTGAAAATATTAACAATACTTTCTCTTATTTCAGCTGTCCACCATTTAAAGACGAATCGAAGAATTTTACTGAGAGCATACCGAACGCGGTGACGCCGAGACCTGATCTCGAGTGCGGCGCCCCCGCCTTTAGCTACCGCGTGGTCGAGTGTAAGATGACCACCGCGGAGGAAGTGCGCGCCCCCGCCGCCCGCGCCCCCACCGCCCCCGCCGCCCCCGCCGTTCCCGGCAACACCACACACTACGACAGGCAGAGACCCCACACAGTGGCCGTCATACCGCACGACGGCAACGGTTAACACGAAACTAAACCATAGACAATTTGTTCAAAGTGTCAATACTGAGGTTGGAGCGCTGTACAAACAATCGGAATGTGCTATAATGTGAAACAATTTATTGTTGTGTCCTTTTTGTACAAAAAATGTGCTAGAAATGGATGAATACCGCGCATTTATGGTTATCAGTTGGTGAACGGACGGTCACTTCATCTCCATATTTTATTCTCTAATCTGCTCAAATGATCACATTCGTCTTCCGCTGCGCTCACCTATTTGACTACTTCCCAGATTAAAAAATTAGAAATCCATTTTTTAAATAGTAGACACTATTTTTTTTATTAAATGACAATTTTATTCTGCATTTACATCCAGTAACTAAGTAATTTATGTTTAAATGCTTCAATACGACTTTTAAATTTAATCTGTATATTCATGTATTTAATATTATACTCGTACTATATCTTAGAAATGAAGTCTATTATTTCCCAGCAATATATTGCGCCAAACTTTATGTAATACAAATTAATTTTAGGTGTAATATTGCAATGAAATAAAAAATGGATTGCCTAATTATCTATCTTATCTGATTTATGTTAAAATCTTAATGCTCGTAAATAGGCTTTCTAGTCCATTAATATAATTCTTCATCATAAAAAACACACACATTTTGTGTGGTTTCATTACTTCGATGTTCCTGCATGGTTCGATGTGGTTGGTCGATGTTTACAAACGAAACATAATTCATATTTTTATTGTCATGTGGACAGTAAAATATTGTATTTATTATTTTAAATTAACTATAATTTCCCAGTTAGAGTAAACGACAGCTATACTACAAAAACTTTCAATTTTAATTCAAAGTTTTTGTATATAGACCCTTACAAACATCGCCATTGGCAACATTGCCCTCACCTGACACATTTAATATATCATGTTTTAAATTGAGTGTTGCTGTTATTTAGATTTAATATTAATAGTCGTGTGTGCTAAGGATCAAACACGTACGCTAGCATTAGATTCCGAATTGTGATATAATTTTTTTAATAATGAAATGACATTTAATTTCAGCGCCATGTTTGATTTTTGAGTTTTTTTTTTAATTATGAAGTAACTGTCTGTAAAGTACTGTCATTTAAATTGAGCTTTTGTTTTAATTGAAATAGTGTTGTGTTAGAGTCTAAACTCTATACTTCTCTATATTGACTAATATTAATTTGGTGAAGGAGCCAAAAGTGTTGCCAAACTACACTAGCCGTTACATCACGTCCATCATTAGCTAGTAATAGTTTTATTTCTGTAAAAATGCAAAGAATTGTGCTCACAAAAGACAATTTAGTGGAATAAAAGGATGAATGGAAACAAGAGATGTAGCTGATTGTAGGTATGTTTATTAGTACTAAGTTTTGGTGATGAAGGCATTTATTGGCCGAGTTATTGAAAATTATACGAAATGTAATTTTTTATAATCCATAATTAAGTACCACGCCTAAGTGAATTATACTATATTGTACTTGATTAAGCTTATTTAATATTGTTATAGATATAAGAATGATGAAAAAAAGTTTGGATTAAAATATATTTGTTTTCTTTAAACCTTTTAATATTCCCATCTGCATAGGAGCGTCTCGAATACTTAAGGAGTTAAGTCCTGTTTTAATCCCAAACAAGGTAAAAGACTCGACAAACTAAGAACATTTAAAGTAAATAGTAAAATATGAAAATTATCATTGAATTTAATAAACTCAATAGCATCATAGAGCACAGTGTTCTCTACATATGCGTGGTTCTATATCCGTTAATCATAACCTTTGCTATATGTTTTGAATATATATACAATAACGTAACGTCATCGGATCTAATAATGTTATTATCCACGAGTAGTTACAATGTGACATTAGTCTGGGTCTGGGTACAAAGAACGCTTTTTTTACGCTTTTCGATTAGATTGCTGCCATAGGAACCACAGCAACGAATTGAGATCGAGTACAGAAAGCAACTACTGCGATCCGACGCTAAGCCAAAACTATGATTATCGTTTTGTAAAGGAAATTTGTTTTTCGTTCTTGAATTTGATTTGACTACGGCAGGCTGTGTATCGCTTATGAGCTTAGAAGCGTAGTGTTAATTGATTTTTCTTAATTCAAACATGTCGTCGCTTATCAAATAGTCCAAACCTTGGCACGAGTGACTGGGTTACGCGACCAGTGATCTAAAATTTGCTAAAAACTGCCAAGCAGTGCAGATGGCAGCGAAGAACTTGCAAAGTTAAAAAGCTGGTCGATTTGGCTCTTCAAAGGCCTTTAATGTATCTCTAAATTAACAATGAATATTCGGTAACTAAAAGCAAATTGCAAATATTCAAAAAATATTTTGCGTTTTTTAAGATATTTTTTTCATCTAAAGTAAAATGTTTTAACTACGAAAGAAAAGAACCTTCACACTGGCAGTCGAAATCGCAATTCGGAACGTGTTGTAAGTGTACCACGGCAGCCATCTTGAATTAAAATTTACAATAGGAAAACTATCACTTCATTCATTAGTGATCGCAAACATTAAACAATAAAGTGTAATTTGATAACAACGTAAAAAATTTACAAGTTTATAAGTGGCTAATTAACGTACCATAATTAATTTAATATTATTAAAAATTATAAAAAGATTTCAATTTGCCAATAAAGCAAATCAGCTGTTATCCGTCAATCGATGTCAACAAAATTACGTAATTTTGTTTAGAAAAACAGTGAAGTATTATTTTTGGATGTCAATAAATTGGCAAACTAAATGAAAAAATTAAATTTTTCGTGATTCAAATTGTTCAAGTGAATGCGGATAAAGAACCTATAGTTTTGACGAGTCATTTGTGTCTATTTCGTATAATGTAGTTAATAAAAACAGTTATGGATAATAAAAGCATTATTGAGTGTGCCGGATTTTATTTTATACATAATTTCGATTCCGGGAATTTGGGTCATGTAGAACAAGTTCCCACGGAACTAATTGGTGAGTTTAATGTGATATTTTACAAATATCAAATTATTTCTTATTTGAAATTTGAGTTACTTCGAATCTTTGTTTGCAAACAATACGCTGTGTTTACTTAAATTACAATGTGTGTTAGAATTGTTGTTATTTGTGTAACAGTTTAGCAGAAGAACTGAACAATATTTTACTAAAACTTATTTAGAATTCCCATTCTTAATTCTTTTAAATTCTGTAATGTTAAGTATGTAACAAAATATATACATCACTTCCTTATATTTTAGCTCCCAGTTTAAATCTGAAAACGAATTCTCCAGAAACTCCTGATTATGAGTTTAATTTATGGACAAGGCCAGATTGTGCCGGGACAGAGTTTGAAAATGGCAACCGCACTTGGTTTTACTTTGGCATCCAAGCCAGTCAACCTGCCGTACTGGTAAGGTATTATTTATGAATATGAAATAAATTATAATAAGGCAACATAATTACAAAAAATTAACTATTGATATGTTTGTTGCTCCCAGCTACTTTGAACTCATTTGGAATTGTTTATCAAGACTAACACTATAAAGTTATAACATTTGTATTTGTGTATTTAACAAAAAAAACTCAAAAATTAATAGACATCAAGAATCCTTTTGTCATTAAAAATCTACATTATCTCTTAACATCAAGCTATAGTTATTACAACATTAAGTATAATGCAAATGTTTACTTTATTATTGTTATTTTATGGCCATAGGTTCGACTTAACTTGATAAACCTGAACAAGCAAGGCAAAATGTACAACCAGGGCATGGCGCCTGTCACTAGGACATTACCTGGGAAGCCTCAGTGGGAAAGGATAAAAGATCGCCCAGTTCACTCTGTAAGTAAATTATAAATGGAATCCAAACTTTTATATCCTTATACAGGAATTAAAAACATATATTTTATTCCAGACGGACGATAACACATTCACACTGAGCTTTAAATATAAGACGTCAGAAAATCCTAAAGCAACAACATTCTTTGCGTTCACATATCCATACTCGTTTGCTGAACTGCAGCTAGCGTTGAATGCTGTGGATGGCAAGATGTTGCCGCTGCCCACCCCACAGTCACCTGACGATATATACTACTGCCGCGAATGTCTTACATACTCACTTGAAGGTATAACTATAGTATTGCATCTATTTCTATAGATAACTCCATGTATCTTTAGTCCAAAAGTTAAAAACCACTTCAATTGATGCCACTTTCTTAATAATATAACTAACTAGGTTTTGCCCAAAAGAGTAGCCAATGTGTTCCTTCAGACTATCCTCTATGTCTATACCAAATTTCATTAAGATCCGTTCTGCCATTTGGACTATAAACATCCATCTAAACTTTCGCATTTATAGTATTAGTAAGATATTGTTTCAGAGAGATTGAAAATATTTGTTACTCTTTATTCATAATATTTAATGTAATATTAGGACGGCGAGTGGACTTGTTAACAATAACGTCACATCACGGGATAACAGCGGAACACGAGGAGAGGCTCAAGAACCTCTTCCCAGAGAACCAGGAAAGGCCATTCAAGTTCCAGAATAAAAAGGTATCATTAATTTACTAAGACCTAAACTAGTTTAAGAGACAAAATTTCATCAACAATCTAAACAGCAATGCGCTTAAAATATATTCATAGAGCGCGCGTTTTAAAGTTCTCAGTTCTTTTTTTGTGATCTACACATTGTGGGCTACACATATCGCAAATGCCACTCGAGTGGAATTAGGATTTGCCATTAGCCTAGCAGTGATAGAGCCTGCTTTAACATCTACGCACGAATGGGGCGGTTCGCCCCCAGCTACCACCACATAGAAAATAGGCGTGAAGTGGGAGCAATTCCGCGTTTCATCTATGAGTGGAGGAGACGCATAGGAATGGGATATATATATCCTCTTTATGTGCGTATCCTCCTCCGTCGATTAAGTGTAGGCAACGCATCTGCTATTACGAATGTCTATGGGCAGCGGTCTCTTCGCCATTTTGGCGAATTCGGCCGCTTGCTCGTTTGCCACCTTATTATGAAAAAAAAACATAACAAAAAGGGTATACAAATAGGTGATCTTCATATCGGCTCGCGTGCACCCCGGCGAGACGCCGTCCAGCTTCGTGTTCAATGGCTTCCTGAGCCTGCTGCTGGCGCGGCACGACCCGGTGGCGCTGCAGCTGCGCAAGAACTACGTCTTCAAGATGATCCCCTTCCTCAACCCTGACGGCGTCGCGCGCGGACACTACCGCACCGACACGCGCGGCGTCAACCTCAACCGCGTCTACCTCAGCCCCTCCGCCGCGCTGCACCCCACCGTCTACGCCTCCAGAGCACTCATCAGGTAAGGCTTCCAACCAACAAATGAACATGAAACCAGTCTTTAGCAAGATATTCCTGCATAAATTCCTTGTTTTATTAAAATATCACATTTTTGTTAGTAATATTTTACCATTCCTAGTTAGTTCTAGGCTTGTTCTTAATCATTAGGTTATTGGTGATTTTGTCTGTACGTCAGGAACAGCTATCACTTAGGGTCATTTAATAGTCATCATAGGTCAGAATCTCTCGTCTTGATTTAATGAAAAGAATCTATACTCAGGCTGCTTAAGTTAATGAATTACATATTGCTCGTTATTAGATATTACCACTTTGGTTGCGAAAAAGAGGACAATTTCGAGGATAACAAGGCATTAACTTCTCGAAGTATGCAGAACATAAGTGAAAGCGCAGAGGTGAGTTTAACTTATACTATTTATTTTTTACAAGTGCACTATAAATATTGTCTGAAATAAAAATGTTAATACAGCTGTTAGACAATGTGAAGAAGAAAAAAAGTCCATACAAACGGGAGTACTACAAGAACAAAGAGAAGTCTCTGGGCTCAAACAAGTCTTCGGGCAACCTGCAGCCGCTCTCCGCTGACTCCTCCTGCAAGGACGCCACCGTCTCCTGCGGCGAGGCGACGCACCTCGCTGACCAGGTACCCCGTACTATATCTATACTAAACGATGTATCCTTGTATGCGATCATATCAGAAACTACCATTTACTTTTCAATATTTATTTGTGTATTTGATACCTTCATTATTAAAGCTTGTCATAGACCATTTAATATCAAGAGACGACTCTTAGAAGTGCACAAAAATGGTGATTGAAATTGAAAAAAAAAATGGAAAACTGAAGATAAAAAATTACATAAATAAAAAAGTACGATGCATAAAAATTAATACCGCCTTCATTTGTGTTAAATATTCTACGAAACACTAATTAGTGTTTAACTTATCAGAAACTTGTCACCAAATATTAAATTTCAGCTCCCTTATCGAAGGCACTTGTTTACGGTGTTTCAACACACTGGTTTAATTAAAAACCGATTTTGTTTTAGTCATCATTTATGACACTTTTTACTAATATTATAAATGGATGGATGTTTCTTGAGTTTGTAACCTAAACGGTTTATCGGATTTCGGTTAAATTTGACATAAACGTAGAGGATACTAGGAGCTACTTTTGTTTTTTTTTTAATTCCACGCGAACGAAGTCACGAGCGAAAGCTAGTAATTTCATAATTAAGAACATTATTAAAATTTTTCGAGTAATGATCTTATTTCTTACTAATCTTATAAATGCGACAGTTTATGTTGATGAATAGATGTTTGTTAGGTTTCTCAGAATCAATTTTACGGATCTTGATGTTTCGCACACATGTAGAGCATAGTCTGGAAGATCACGTTTTAGCTTTTTTATTTCCGCGTGAACGGAGTCGCGGACCAAAGCTAGTTAGTGTTATATTTCCACAGGTGTATGACATGAAACTGCAAGAGATGCCGTCTCAGCTGAGCAGCGTGACGACAAAGGAGTCGACCGCGGAGGAGGGCTCGTGCCGGCTCAGCGACGACCTGCTGCGCACCTGCCTCGGCTCCACCGTGCACGTCAGCACCTCCGAGGAGCTCAACATCCCCGGCAGCAACCCCCTCAAGCCGCTCAGAGACACGCTCAAAAACAGTATCTCCTTACTCATGGAATCGGGCTCTTCTATTGCTGGGTGAGGCCTCACATTCCGGACATTTGTGTGTCATTTTGATGGCTTATTGCAATGTACAGTCGCGGAAATTCGTGGTGATCCACTTTACGAAAAATTGCCTTTGCAACGAGACAAATTCCACCACTTCCTACAAATAACTAATTAGATAGCAATGAGTGGTGCATTCGATCTGATAATAAGAAAAAAGAAATTAGTTGTGTGTCACTAAGCGTTGTATAAATTTTTGTTCCG